AGGGCTTGCTATGTAATTCAGGCTGCCCTCAAACTCTCAGTTTGAGAGATTTGAGATCATTTTTCAGTGATCTTCCTGCCTCAGCCTCTAGAGTACTGTGATTACAGGCATTCACCACTAAGCCCAGTCCATTTTCATTTTCTTTTTTTTTTATAAGCTTCTGAATCATGATCCCAGGTGCTTGCCGTGACTTTAATTCTCATGTACTAAGTGACCTTGGCTGTTTTATTTTTTTTATTTATTAAATTCTTTTATCGGTACATTGTAGGTATACAACACAATTACATTTCTCATTGGGAATTGTACCTTTACATAATGCATCTTGGTTCTTATATTTTCCCCATTCCTAGCCCTCCCTTCATGCCCTCCACCCTTCCCTATTTACAAAGACTTTATTTCCATTTTTTCCATTTCTCATCATTTTTCCTTTCCCTTCTTGATTAGCAATTATGAGTTTATAAAGCAGTGCTGCATAGAGTATGTAGAAAGCACAATCCATTGTAGAGGCTCATAGAGACTAAACTCCTTTCACCAAAGCCATACAATTTGCAGAAGCCCTTTGACCCTTGCCTTCTCTGAGAGCCTCCCTTCAGTCTGCCCAGGACCACTATGCACTCAGCCTTGCGTTCTTGGTCCTGGCTGACTGCTCCAGGGGAGTTGATACCTGGATGAAGCTGGATTAGTCAAATCATCTCTGTGTGGGGCCTTCAGGATTGGCTAGTGGCTCTGAGTTTTAAAGAATTCATCACAATGGATGTGGAATGAGACTTGGTGTAAGTGTTACTTCAGGGATCTATTAATCTTGTAGAGCTAGTATGCATAGATCAGATCAGAAATGAAAGAGGAAAATCCCTCCTGCAGAAACTGGTGTGTGTCCTTCATACTGTGCGGCCACCTTACCTGAGTTACCCAGGCTCAGTGTCACAGTGGATAAGGTACTCATTGCCTTTAGGTTTCCGTCTCTTGTATTTGTTTCTCCACATTCAACCAACCATTTTTCTTCTTTCATTCCTTGAAGGAATTGTGTGCAGAACATGGAGCAAGAAATTATATTTTTCCCAAATAATTCACATTCATGTCTACTTATCTGTCTCTCTATAGTAAGATTTACATAAAGGAAGCAATATGAAAACCTCCCACTTTTAGTTCTAAGGTAGGGAAGGATGTGACAAACAACTTTTAGGAACTGATTATATTTTTCTTCCTGTGGCTATTAGGGGTTTCAAGGGTGTTTTCATGAATTATATGATCATTGACATCAGAGAGAAAGGTTTTAGGGCAAGGGCTTTTCCAGCAACAGAAGGACAGCATCCAGGGTTGGCCCTCTCTGTTTGGGTGGGGTTAGCCTTGGGCACTTTGGCTTATGCAATTACATGAGAGAATCTTGTGCTTTCATTCCTAAAGAGTGCAGTGATTATTTTCTTCTAAGAAAGCCTATAGTTGAGTAACATGTTTTAGATCATAAGAACCCTCAGATTTCAATTTTAATTAGCTAAATTGATCTGACATCTTATTTTTTGGTAAAGAAGTTTTGAAGAGTAATGATTGTTCTTTGCCTTTGGAATAGTCTTTAGGAACCAGGGATTTAGCTCAGTGGTTCTGCTGCCTACCTCATAAACTCAAGGTCCCAAGTTCGATCCCCGGTAGCAAAAAAAAAAAAAAAAAAGAAAGTGCCAGGAAGAACAAAATAGGTGAGGTAATTTCCATAAAGACTCCTGTTTGTGGTAGTAATCCCCATTGATAATTAATCCCTTTCAGAGAGAGGGTGTGGAATTCAACTAGCATCTTGTTTTGCTATAGGAAATGTTTAAATATATCCCGTGTTGCTGCCTGTCACTTGGGACTAGGAAAATTTTAGCATGTTAGAGCAAGATAGAAGAGACTTCTTAGAAGCAAATCAAACAATTTATTAGGTCAAAACAATCATACAGGCAGTCCCTGTGAGCTTTGCATTAAGCATGGCCTTACAGCAAATACAGATTGAGGCAATTAGACATTTCCAACTTTATGCAAGCAGTAGCAATGGGAGGCATGCCAAGATGGATGATTAAGGATTAAACAATGGCATGGGAACTTGATCAGAAGCTCCCAAACTTTTTTTTGCCAGCACCTGATATTTCTACATCACTCCCTCTGAGATTGTGAAAGGCAGGGGCCCTTCTCCCAGACCCTACCCCTGAATCCACTTACTGCTCAAGAGAAAGTGAAGAAGAGAAGGGTTTCTGTATCCACCAACTCCTAATAGGGAGTAGAGCCAAGAGAGACAGGAAGAAGCATGCTCATTTCCAAACTTTTTGGCAGGCTCAAGCAGGAGCAAAAGCCATAGCCAATTCTATTTTTTAATACAGATTTTAAAAGGGTTGTGTCTGCACATGCAAAGGGAAATGCATAGTACGCCATGTTAATTTAAGCAGCACAACAATTTTTTTCTTATTAAAAAATAAAATGCCTAAAACTTTCCTGTCTATCCAAATATTTGTTTTACATGTGATAGATCCAAATTAAGAGGGGAGACTGAAGTGTAACACTTTCTTCTGCAGTTATATGTGTACTCTTCACCCCCACATGTTTATTCCACCAGCCCTAGGCTGAGCTAGGCAGAGACCACCTAGGATTTTGCATTTCAAACCAGGAGCGATGCTCTCTCTTTCCTTTGGAAACAGAGTTGAATTCCTAGATTCCTGGTATGTGGAACCCGATGTAAGTGGCACTTTGGTAGTTTGAATTGGATACTTACCAAGAGTGAGCAAGAGAGAGTGAGAAAACAAGAATCAGAGGGGCAGCTAGGGAATAAAAGAAATTTCAATTGCATCATTTGATGAAATGGGGACTAAGTGTTGGAAATAAGTCCCTAGACTCAATTCATCGGTGCAGATAATGAAGCACTCAGACACCAAGAAATCTTGACAAAGCTTTTTACTTTTGCAAAAGGGTGCAAGCTTGAGGTAGCAGGCCTGCAGGACAAAGGAGGGCTGTCCTTTTTATCCCTAATATGGGGTGGTGGGGAGCTGACCTCTTTCCCATTGGCTGGTTTGGAAGTTTGTAATCTATCCTGATTGGCCAACTCAGACAGGTACAATGGGAATATGAGGGGTTGCTGAGGGAAAGAGAGAGCAGAGGGGAGGGGGATGTAGAGAGCAGAAAATCTGTGGCCCATAATAAGCTATCTTTGGTTTATAGCTGTGTTTTCAGGATTGGAACTGAGTGGGCATTCTCTGTAACTTAGTGTGTTCAGGAAGGGCTATCTAGGATGGGCTAGAGCCCAAGATGGAATTACTCCTGTTTGATAGAAAAGACAGAACTTATATTTTAAGATGAATGCATATGCTTGGGCCTAAAGAGTTAAAAAAAATTGGAATTCACAGCAAAATTGTAGTTAAGTAATTTGGAGGAAGATCAAGGTATTGCAAATGCCTTTCCTGGAAAGATATAGGTGGAATGAGTGAACAAATGTTTATGGAGGACGCATATGGGCTTTTTGCAGGGGACCGTGAAGTGTTTCATGACAGCAGGGACTATGACTATTTTGCTTTAGTCTACATAATCCCCTGCGGGTAGGTACTATTATTATTATTACCATTTGTAAAGACTCAGTTTAAAACTTGCCTAAGGCCACCACCTAGTTCTTAGTAATACTGGGATTCAAGTCCAGGCCTGTGTAAGTGCAAAGCTTGCCAGAACTGCTATTATGATGAGATCTAGCCCACAGAGACAGGATGGGTGTTCTCTCAGGCAAGGAAAGCAAGAAAGGGGAGAACAAAGAAAAATGATAGATGCAGGACCTTTTTAGCAATCTATCATCTATCTATCTATCTATCTATCTATCTATCTATCTATCTATCTATATCTAGCTACCCACCCACCCTTTCACTCATTTGTGTACATAGCTGTATCCATTTACTAAACATTTACTGTGTGCTAAATATTTTGTCTCATCTGATATTCACTTCAATTTTCAAACAAGATAATATCACCTCATTTCATGCACGAGGAAACAGATTCAAAGATCACACAGTGGATTAGTGATAGACTGAAGTCTGACCTTGGATTTGTCAGATTCCAAGCCACCACTCTGAACTATTTCCTGCACTGCTGCCCAAAGAGGAATGTCTAAAATACTTTGTTATCTCTCTCTCAGTTGGTGAATATTTCCCACAGCCTATTTTCCCTGAATATTTAAAAGTAAAATTTACATTTTCCATGAAACGTTGTACTTAAAAGATCATATACAGAGAAACATTCATTTACTTAGTGTTATGTTTAATAGGCTTTTTGATAGTCTTATTTATTTATTTATTTATTTATTTATTTATTTATTTATTTATTGGTGCTGGGGATAGAACTCCAGTCTTTGTGCTTGCAAGGCAGGCGGCAGAACCACTGAGCTAAATCCCTGGCCCAATAGTCTAATTTTTAAACTAAGTGGCTAGGTCAGAAATTCAGTCAACATCTACTAATAAAAAAAAAGTGAAAAAGAAGAAACACAAACTGTCAAAAAAGACAAACAGGAATACACATCTCTTTCCTATCCAAGATACCTAGTGCCCCTCTTCAGAGCCCCCTGCAGCTAAGTTTTGTATAATTCCTCCTGATATCATATATATATACATGTATGTGTGTATATGTGTATATATATATGTATATATAATATGTATATTTTGGGTCCTTTTTCTTATAGCTCCAGACCTTGGGGATCTTTTATATATGAGTACAGATTGCTGTCCTTTATGTACTTAGCAGTAACATAGAAACCATTGCACAGATGTATTCTACCTCATATACAGAACCTCTAATTGTTGGGCAGCTTTTGCTTTTTTGCTTCTGGTCTTATGCCATCACAAATAATGTTGCAATGAACATCCTTTTACCTATGCCTTTATATACTTGTTCCATTTGAGGTCAAGTTCTTGGAAATGAAACAGTTGGTTCAAAGGGCATTTTTGTCCATTTTGGGGACCCATAAAACCCAGCCCTACATAGCTGAGTAATGTCTACACAGTATGTTCTAAACAAGAGGCACTGTGGTACTTGTTCTAAATAAGAGCACCAACTCTGCAATCAGCCAGTCCCAGCTCTGCAACTCATGGCCTGTGTGACCTTGGGTGAGTTATTTAGCCTTTCAAAATCAGAGTTTACTATCAATTAAATGCAGCAATAATAATACTTTATTGAACTAGCTATGTGACGGGTACTAGACTCAAATAATCTTATGAAGTAGGTACTATTAGTAGTCTCTCTTACAGATGAGGAAACTAGGCACAGAGTGAATATACACTCTGCCCAAGGTCACACAGATAGTAAGTGGTAGATCCAGAATTTAACCCCCAGAAGTATGGCTGTAGAGCCCATATGTTAACTACTTCCTCATAGAGGCATTACATTAAATGAGAAGACAAGTAGAGAGCTAATAGATGGGAAGAGAGGGAGGGGAGAGAAGGATGAATGAGAAGTGGATGGAATGAGAATGAGTGCAGTGTGGTGTGTGGCCCTCAGTCTGTGTGATATGGCTAAGTGAGATGTGATCCCAGTCCTTTTCCTGGCCACATCCTTCTAGTATGGACAAGCTGGCCTGAAAGATTTTCTTAAGACTTCATTTCTATGAAGAAGAAGGCTAGGAACAGGATCATGTGACTTGGAGAACTGCTGTATCTTTCAGTCCAGAAGTCAACAGCACCATGGAAATATATATAAGAGAATCAAATGATACTGATTAAGTAAGCTCTAATGAGTATGGAAACTTAACCTTCTGTCTCAGGAAGTCAAGACAGGGGGAGGAGCTAGTGACTGAACACAATTTAGGCTATGAACAAAGGACTGTCAGGGAAGACTGTCAGGGAGTTTCTCTCCCATAAGGTTTTGTAAAAGGTGAGGCAGATTACTTCTGATTTAGTCCTTTATATTCATCATCTCCTTTACTCCCACAACAACTGTTTTAGGCAGGCAAGATAATTGACTCCATTTAACACTTTAGGAAGCTAAGGCTCAAAGAGGCAGTGTAGCTTTCCCAGAAATCTGTAGTCCTACCTACTGTTTCTCCCACAGAGAGCGCTGTTGGGAGATTTGCTGTCTTGTGTCTGCTGCAAGGTGGGAAACCTGGGGCCATATTACCTCCTAGCTCCAAACCTCTGTGTCATTAACTAAATCTCACAGGTGGAGGATTAGATGAGATGATTCATATAGAATATTGAGCACAGAGGCTGGCAAATGGTTAGCACTCAAGAATTACATCAAGAACTAGAAAATACACATTGTGTCAAAAATCACAATGTTTAGTATTATGTCTATATCACAAATATTTTCTAGAATAATGAATGTCAAAATCTTTCTTGTCCAGCAAGTAGAATAGATATAGCATAGGTCAAATGTCATTAGTTGCAATGAAGCCAAAGCTGCTGTCATGGGTTGATTGTTTTATTGGTAATGCTGGACTCGGTATGACTTCAGACTTGCCCTGTGTGGGACTGAAATGTGCTGTCCATGGAGTAAGGACCCAGCTATGATCTGTACATTGTAACACAACTGAGAAATATAAAGAAAATTAAAAATAAGTCACGGGTGGAACATAGAATAAATCCTTGGTTTGTACTTAGTTGATGAGTTTGTCCTTGTGGTAGAAAATCTGAATTATAGAATATATTTTTAAAAGAGAAATGCTGATAATAGTTATTCTTTATGAACCTAGCTATGACTTAGGCAAAACAATGCACTTGACACATAAATTTATTTCTCTCAACAGTTTCAACAGTCTTATGTGTCAATAGTGTTATCATTTTTTAACTAGTAAAGAAATTGAGTCTTACAGAGACAAGCGACTTGGAAATATAAGCTTATCTGTTGTCCCCTGTTATGGTTTAGATCTAAAGTGTTCCCCAGAAGCCTCATGTGTTTGGAAGGTGATTGGATCATGGCAGTGCTATACTCATCAGTGGATTGGTCCATTGATGAGTTCATAGCTGACTTGCTATTAGTAGGTGGGGCCAGTTGGAGGAGGGTCACTGGGGTGTGATCTAGAAGAGTACATCTCCCTCCCTGCCTCTTTCCACTTTTCTCTGCTGCCTGCCTGCCATGGGTTGAGCACCTTTTCCTCCCCTTTGCCATCATGTTTCTGTGTTGGAACCTACTGACCATGGACTGAAACTACTGAAACTGTGAGTCAAAATAAACTTCTCCTTGTTTAAGTTGCTGGTGTCAGGTATTCTGTCCCAGTGATGGGATAGTGACTAAGACATCCCCTTTCCCCCACACCTTGATAACAGCAGATATAAATATTGTAAAGTCCTTGTGAATAGCTGGGCTAAACACCCAAGAAAGTCCTATCACTTAAAATTATTCTATATATAGTTATAGCTTTTATTGTAATGACATAATGACGTGTGGGAGGTAAATGGTTTCCCGGCTTAATTCAAATAGCAGATTTTATCAACTATTTGTTATAATGAGTTTTACAATTTGGTACTGTTTTTCTTTTGAAATCTGGAAGCAACAAGAATGAGGAAATAGATCAGGGGACTCCCTGGGCTCCTACCACGCTGAGTTCCCCACTGTGTGAAGCTGGCCAGGGCCATTCTCCCTTCCAACAACTCAGTAAGACTCCTCCGGGAAGCTTTTTTTTTTTTTTTTTTTTTAATCAGCCTAAGGCCTCCTGCTGTGGGTAGTGGGAATGGATGAAGAAACCCTTGTGCTTGAGTGGTTAATAGAGAAAGCACTTGGGGAAAGATTAGCCTGCAAGTAGGATTCTGAAGTCAAGGTCAGCAAGTTTTCCAGAAGCAGGCTTGGATGGAACCTCTCAGCATGAGCTGTGATGAGGGCAGCCCTGCTGCAAACAGGAAACAGATGGGCAGGGCGGTGTGTGGGGAGGGGGGAGACTCCCAGTGAAAGTCTCCCAAGTGGAACCTCCTCTGTCCTGTAGAGCCAGAACTGGTCTCATAGGTGGCATCCAGAAGTCACACTAGTGACTCTGGTCTTACAGTGATCTCAGTTATGTACACATAGGCATATAATTTCCAGCTCCCTCCCTTACATATCCTTCAGCACTCTGGGCCTTTCTTGTCTCAAAGCCTGAGGACATGTTTCTTCTGGGAGGATATTTTTCCCCTTACCTTGTGTTCCAGTTCTCATCTCCTCAAAGATCCTCCATGGCCATTTTCTCAGAAGAATATCTTTCCTTTTCCTGGTATCCTCCCTTTCTTCAACAGGGTTGCTCCCTTCACAGCATGTGATGTGAGTTTAACTGCAAATCTTTTTGTTTGTTCCTCTGTTTATTGTCTCTTTCTGCCATGAGTCTGTAAGGCCCAGACAGGCATATGTTTGACTCAGCATTGATCTCAGTGCCCAGCAACGAGCTGAGAACAGAGTAAGTTTTTCAATAAATGTTTGCCAAATGAATAAAGGATGGGACGGAATTCCCAACCAAGCCCTGTGCAATGTAATTGTAATTGAACTTGGTTTGTGATAGTGAGGATGTTGAATCCTAGTCATGAGACCACCAGGATTCTCCCTGGGCAATGGATTTGGAAGAAAATTTCAATATACCCATGGAATGAGCAATTATTAAAGGTCTTTGGAAAGGGGTTAATTCAATTTTTAAAACATCCTTGGAGAAGAATCCCAAGAGAAAAAGAAACATAAATAAATTGGTTTGTGGTATTTCCTGGAAATGTCTTAATGAGATCGTCCATCTGACATCTACAAGCTGTGGGAATATTGTCCTTTTTATATTCAGTTTCTTCCCAGTTACATTTCCAACAGGATTATAATGATAAGAGCATGGTGAAAATATCAGAAGAGTTAACTTTTTAATTATTCTGAAGTTACATTTATGGGTTTTGAAGGGCTGTCATTGCAATGGTGACTTCTTGGCCATTTTGCTCATCAGTGTAGAAATATGAGTATGAAATTTGATATTTATTAACAGTTGTACTACAGATGTGGAAGAAAGGATGTAAAAGTTATTGGCCAGACTGAAGCTTATAATAAACTTTATTAAAGGCACCCTTATGCACTATAACCATAGTCGAAGACTGGAAGTACCCGAACTATAAACCCAGTTCCAGATGGAAACATCAATGGAAATGGCTGTGACTGGCTGGGGCTGGGGCTGGGCAGGGTGGGGCTGACTGCAAGTTGTTGCACTGCCTCCCTATCTAGGGAGCTGCCTTCCAGCTGCAGGGCTCTTTTTAGGGCTACAGAATGGAAGTGAACAAAGAGCAAGTCTTTTCCTTAGGATATGGGCCAGGCATTCAGTTGGGGAAGGGAGTATGGTAAATCATGTTGGTCAAGGAGAAAGGAAATATTTTCCTTTGTCCCTAGTATTTTAACAATAGGTGAAGCGTGCTTAGAATTTATTTATTTACTTATTTATGAATTGACCTATTTAGTGTTCATTCACTTAAATCTGAAATTATATCTTTGTGTCCCTGAGTAATAAATAACACTACAGTGCACCAACCTTATGTTTGATGTTCAATATGAGGCAATTGTCACTTTTTATAATAGCATGGGGCCATACAAATTACTATGCTAGCTATAACTGTGTGAAGTGATCACCATCATCAATGGGAGAAAAAAATCTCAATTGTTTCACACATGACCTTTAAAACTTTCTTATTGTCAACAATAATTGTAAAGGAAAATGAAAAATATAATAAAACTATTATTTATTTAGTCATGGAAGTTAAAAACATTAGAAATAGTGGGCATTAGTAAAAAACACAGTAGTTTGAAGGGTGTTTGCCTTCTCTTCTCACCATATAACTCACAATATGGAGCAAATTTCTTTTTCATGTCTTGGCAAATTGTCATCTTTTTTCTAAGTTGGATCAGCTTCTAAAAATTTCTCCTTTGGTTTTTCTGTCAATATGAATTATCTCCAAGAGTTCCTTAAAGATGGAATGGTTTGCTAGCTCACTTCCTCTGGGACATCTTCATCCTCTTGGTTATGGTCATTTTGCTCATTTATGCCACTAAATTTGCCTTCACTAAGTTGTCTAGTTATATCCACAGAACATTCGATGGCGAAAGATGTTCACATTCCATAGGCAGCTATGTCTCTGGGAACTTCATTTATAATTGACTTGGATTTTACTTCCAGGCTCATCACTTT